TTTAAATGATTGTCCTGATGAAGCATTAGTGCAAAGTACAAAGAATTGTGACAAATAACATAATGGTCCTGTTTCTTAGTATTCAATACAACTAATACAGTCTACCCCATAGAATAGTTTTTAAAAGCTGCTATAAAAGCAATGTAGTAACTATATACAGATATAGTTTAAATTCATAAATAGACACGAGTGAATTTTGGGGGGAGGGAGGAGAACGACATCCCTTTTTTACAGATCATGTGCAATTTTATAATAATACCTTACAGGTTTTAGCATCATAGTCTTCACATGTCAAACACGATCCTCTCTGAAACAAAAACACACAATAAAATGAAGTAATTAGTGAAATATTTGGTTAACACTATCAGGGTGAACTGAACCCTGCAAATAGTTTTTTCCTGTTTAAAAATAAAAGTCAGTAGGACAGTTGGCAAATTGACTTTGGAGTGAGGAAGACAGTACTTTTCAAGGACAAAGACACATTTTATTCAGAGGCTAAAAGGGGCTGCACATGATATAAGAATGCTTGGCTATATACACTGGGTCCTTCCACACAGCCCTATATTCCAGAATATCAAGGCAGAAAATCCAACGTTATCTGAGTGTAGACTCATTACCCAGTTCAAAGTAGATATTGTGGGATTTTCTGACTTGATATTCTGGAATATAGGGCTGTGTGGAAGGACCCACTATCTGTAGATTTTGGCTTGTTGTCATTTACGTTGCTTTTAAAAACAGTTGGGTATATTTCAGCCATACTTGTTCACGCCTAAAAAGCTCGTGTTTTCTGAATGAATTGAATCAGTAGTATTCTTCAAGGCAAAAATGAGCAGAGATCAAATTCCTGATTTCAGAGAATTTAAATCTGTTTATTTAATAAACGCATTGCGTCTAACAATGCTAACAGCAACACTGAATGAACAGGAAATGTTGGCTGGAAACCTGTTGGTTGCACATGCAGGCATAACATATTTTATAGCCTATTCCATATCACAATATCTCAGGATGGTGTACATGTAAGATTAATTTCAGCAGATTAAACCAATATAAAACAATAAAAATAATGTAAGCAGAAAAAATCATTGAGAATTTAAGAAGTTAAAAAATAGAAACTATAAACATGGACATTTTTGGATGAATCATGTTTTCTTAAAATGCAGAATCCTGTCTTCTATACCTCAATGGCTGACAATAACAAATTTAGGTAATTATCTCAGAACATGAAAATCAGCTTTGTGTTTTTTGACTTCTTTTTCCTGCTGAATTAATAATAAGTTGCATTTTTCATTTAATTTTACTTCTTAAGTAATAATTTGCTTTTATATGTTGAACTGTCAATTTTTGTTATTATGGGTGTATTATTATTATGTTCAGGCATTGAATGTTTGCCTTTTATGTTTGGAATCTGCCCTGAGTCCTTCCGGGGAGATAGTGCAGAATAAAAATAAAGTTTTATTATATTATTATTATTATTATTATTATTATTATTATTATTATTATTATATATTTTTAACTGAAAAAGAGCCTCATACCCTCCGAGCAATATAGAGGCAATTTTGACAGGACTCACTTCAAAGCTATTTTAGGCCTAGGTGGGATACCAGGTTCTACCTGTGTATGTGTTTATTTGATTTTATACCAACGTATATACCCAGCATTGCCCAGTTAGGCATTTTGGAATTTTGTAATGCCAGAATATTGGAACTATTCACCCATCGTAGGTTTGGGGAGGTGGGTAGAGATAACCAGCTGACAGTGATCAATTTGGAAGAATATTTAACCTGCAAAACTATCAAACATAGAAGGCAAATGAAAATGCATTCAGTTTTTTCATTTCTGTTTCACTGTTCTGATTACTATATGATTCCTAGGGAATTTGTGATTTAAAAATGATAAATTGCACTTAAAAACAAGCGATGTTTTTAAGTACAGTTCTTATTTTCTCAGAGGTATATTCTTTAAAAGGCCGCTATGTACATCACAGATGGAAAGCAATTTGCCCATCTCAGAAGCACTGGTCCAGCAGTCTAAGGTGTATGGCTCCAAGTGGTCATAAAAACACCTATTTCATAATGAGCCCTTTAAATGAAAGTTGTGATTTAAAAGCAGCAACTCACCTTTGCTTGATTTTTTCACTGATTCCTCCTGTTTCCGGAATAACAGAGAGGTCAGATATATTTCCGTTCTGAATAAGTAAGCTGTTCAGTTTGTTCCAACCAGGAAAATAATTTTTCATTTCTCGGTATGAGCTGAGCAAGACACTGGCAGCACCACAGGAGCAGTGCTGTATAAAATACTCCTACATTGGGTGAAAAATGAGATATGTTGGTGTTAATTGTGCAACTTGTAAATGTATGTAAATGTAAAATATGTAATACATATTTTGCTTCTTTTTCCCCAAATTTGCACTGCAAGCACCAAGAAGGCAAAATGTTAGACTTTCAAAATACATACTGGTTGTAGAATGACTTCTGGAAGATCCACAAACACCTTTTGGTTTGCATAGTTGTTACCTCAAATATATAATGGCAAGAAACACATTTCTAAAACGTTAGACAAAAACACAACTCCTAATTATTCAGCAGCTACATGAATATAACAAAAACATACCAGAGGAAGGAAATGACAATTGGAGGAAACTAAAAGATTACATTCTTTTCCCTCCCCTGATATTGCCCTGCTTTATGACTTTTGACAGAGTCGTGGCATATTGTTTGTCCAAGCTTACCTATGAAACAAGTTTTTTTCCAGTTCTCTGCTTCTATGAAACATGTGAATTTAAATGTAAAACGAAATTGGTGTTTTAAGAATAGCCCATGTTGTACAATATAACTATAAAAGGTAGGTAAAAGTTGTCCCCTGACATTAAGTCCAGTCGTGTCTGACTCTGGGGGTTGGTGCTCATCTCCATTTCTAAGCTAAAGAGCTGGCGTTGTCTGTAGACACCTCCAAGGTCATATGGCTGACATGACTGCATAGAGCGCCTTTACCTTCCCAAAGGAGCAGTTCCTACTGATCTACTCACATTTGCATGTTTTCGAACTGCTAGGCTGGCAGAAGCTGGGGCTGATAGTGGAAGCTCACGCCATTCCCCGGATTTGAACCTGCCCATATCATACCCACATCTCAGTCTTGTTCCAATCATTCATGCTACCAATGCAACAATGTATGTGTATACTTCTACTAGTAAATCTGAGAAGGTTGCACCAACATGCATTTCATAACTCACACTGTGTCAGTGAAGCAATTATTTTACCAACTGCTGTAGTCAATGAGTTAGGACAGTGCTGTTTGTAAACTTTGTCCATCTTTAATGTGGTGCCTCAGAGACAGGAACTGCAATTTAAATAAATTATTTCAATTGTATGTATTTTTTTTTAAAACTCCCTTAGGCCAGCAATTTGCTCTGTAAAAGCAAATTAAATATATTTTGCTTTTTTCTAGTGTAAACTCAGCTGGAGAATTCAGACTTACTGGACAATTCACAATAACATTAATTTTAATTAGCTCCTAAGTTTTAACCATTCAAATCAGCAATTAAAGCATAATTTCTTTGGTTAAGGTAAACAGAGAAGACAGTCTGTTACCTCCTTTAGTTGGCTTGTTTTCTGCTCCTTCTGTAAACCACAGATTTCTTTCTGTAATTTCAGATTGTGCTCTTGTAGCTGTCCAATTTTTTCAATAAGTTGGCAGATGTGCTCTAGGTAACCCAAGCCTGAGCCACGTGCTTTGGCATTTTCTTGGTTGACCTACAATGAAAATAAAATAAATGACAATTGGATATTTTCAGTGACAAAATAAAATATTGCTTCTGAAAAAGAATTGTAGCATATATTATAAATCTCTATACTGGCCATTTAAAGGGACACTCCTCAAGAAATCTGCTCAAAACAAGATAAAACAACAGTTGCTCCATTTAAGCAAACAAGTACTGCTCCAGTTAGTACAGTCAAGTTCATGGAAAAGAACTTGTAAAATCGATTCGGTTTTCACGAGGCAATTTCAATAACATAAAGTGGCCCCTGGATGCAAAAAAAAAAAAATCTGGAAGAGAGAGCTAGATAAAATTGCCATCAACCCCACACACTCAGCCTGAAACTGCTTCTTCTAGAGAAAGCAGATAAACTCATACTTCACTCTGAACAATTTGGTATGCACGAAAAGTCCTTACCTTACTCAGCTTACAGCAAGCGTCCATGTACTCATCCAAGCTGTCACTTGTGGGATGCCTTCTTAAGGGATGAGCAGGTAATGTCAGTTCTTCTAAGTTGTCATTTCTGTAATCGTCATGAAAACTTTTCTTTTCTACAGACATAGTGGGAAGGAGGGAGGAACTCCCCTCTTTGCAAATTTTACCCTGCAAATGCTCTGCTTGGCTACCATCCGAAAAGGACTGCTCAGTATGCTTTGTATCCTGAAAATCAGCATCCTTGTTCAAGGAAACTGCAAAAGTCTGTATCTCTTCTGCATGGTGTTCCATTGGCTTCTTGCAGTCTGAGATGCAGAGACAGGCATTCACAGTGTCTTTGCATGCTATCATTACTGGGGAGGAAGAGGCGCTCAGAACGCCAGAGTCACAAGAAGAATCTCTTCTGTGTAGCACAAAGCGCTTTTCGGAGTTGGCTCCATCACGCAATGTGACGCTAGAACCTTCTGATTCCAAGTTGCCTGATTTTACAACCTCATCTTTTGGTGTCAAGGTATTTTGATGAGAGAGCATGGCAAAGTACTCTGTTTTTTCTGGAATATCACTTACGGTGAGTGAGTTGGACTGATGCTGTTGCACTATGCTAGATTCCAATTTCTCTGAAGGGCCTGAGCCAGCAGGAAGACATTGTCTTAGTCCTTCACCCATTTCATTGATTGTCTTCATGTTTTTCAAAATCACCTTGTCATTGGACGCTGGAGTCTTTTTGCCTAATAAAAGAATATAAATACAGATTTCAGTCATGGAGAATTCTAATTGCTGGTCCCTTTAACATATTTATCTATGAGACAGAGTTTAATGACAGAACATGATCCTTGGAACCCACTCAGTCTTCTGTAATTAATAAGTCCTTCCCATAATCTTATGTGGAGAAGGATATGAATGGTGGCTTTTAGCCAACCCATGTCCTAGAAGCCTTATTGTCAATTTGTTTTGGTATAAATATTTATTGTGATATATGGGAAAAAAGAAATATACAAACTTTGAAATTCAACAATCCAAATACAAGTATTGTTTCCTCAGTCCCACCACCACCCCATTCCCATCTGTGGACCACCACCCATGTCTTCCAACACCACACCATATGGAACTAGTATTTTCAAATGGGAACATTCACAAAAAAACAAAAGCAAACAATGGATATCTATATAAATAAAAATGTAATGTGCGTTTGTGGGACTAACAGAACTCAAAAACCACTGGACGAATTGACACCAAATTCAGACACAATACACCTATCAGGCCAACGAGTGACCATCACTCATAAAAACACTGAAAAACACAGCAGAAGGGACTTAAAAAACAAAAAAAATGCATTACAATGCATGCACAAAACTATATATATATATATATATATACACACACACACACACACACACACACACACACACACACAAACACACACACACACACAAACACATATATACACAAATATTTACGCACACAAAACACATATACACAGACTGGGCCACAGCAACGCGTGGCAGGGGACGGCTAGTTTCTAATAAATAGGACTACAAAATTCCTAACTCAGGCATCACTGGGTACTTAAGCAACTTATTAATAAAGTAATAAATGGGATCAACTAATATTAAACATGCAATACACCCCAGGAAGTATCACTGAACATTATTAAAAATTACAATGTTTGTCACCCACCAATCTGTCCCTTACTCCTCACCCCCACATATACCACTCCGATCCAGGGAGGCAACATAGCAAAAGGCCATTTTCCTTGAAACTGCAGAGCAAGACGAGACTTTTCAAAAATCGCAAACTTACAAGCACTTTCATTATTAAAATGGTTGTATGTTATGTAGGGATACACACTGGAATAAAGGTGAGTATGGATTATTTTGTTGGTGTAGAGAGAATTTGCAATACTGGTGAATTCATTAGAAACAAGTCTATAATGTGGTGGAAAGTAGTGGGGATGAGATAATTTTCACTAAATCCAGGCTTCTTCTTTCCATTTCTTTTTCTGTGCCTCATTTTTCTGTATTTAGCCTGTGTTTGTTCCCATTCTCTCTTTCCCAGAGCAGTATATGTGGCCTTTCCTTCATACCACACAAACACACACACAAAACCTTTTCAAATCACAAAGAGATCCTATTTTAAACAAATGATGACATCTGTGTTTTCTACCATGTCCAAGAAACTAGTCATTTCCTTTCTGAAACAATAGGCATTTCCTACTTCTCTGATTAACTCTGCCTTGTGTGTGGGAAAAGATATTTGGGTAACCAAACACCACAGGCAATGCTGCTCTGACAAGTAAAAAAGGGAGCTCTTTGATTCTTCACAACACCAGCCTAGCAGCTTTAACTAGCAGATGTTAGCTTCTTTCTACATTATATGTCCACTATACCCAAGCACCTATGGTGCACACACCTTGCTTATATAGATGAATACTCATCTTGGGTAAATGCACTGTGTTTAGTAAAGTAATGGTCAATACATTAACTAGGACAGCGGTTCCCAGACTTTTTTGGTCATGGAACCCTTCAGAAGAGATTTATTTTCAACAGATCTCTAACTCTATTCCTGATTAAGGTTCTTCAGCTTCCTGTCATAGCTTCATAATCCCATGATCTCCTAAAGGCTACATCTTACACTGTTATTGGTTCCCACATGGACCAAAAGGAAGGGATAATGGTCTCTTGGCTTGACAAGTCTTGCCAGCCTCTCTGTTACATCTTGGATTCTTGAGTTATGCTGTCAAGTCCTCAGCAGGAGGTCCCCTATCATCATAACACATCTTCTTTGAGGTTTGGCAGAAGCCGTTCCATGTGCTGACTCTTCCAGGGGCACCTACACCTTCCCCAAGGACAAGTTTTGATTCATTTCTTGTTCTGCATAATCACTGATGCTGGATATAACTTCAAATTGATTCTGTAGCTCCAAACTTACAAAACGATCCTATTAGTTCTATGTGTAATATTCCTCCAAGTGTCTACACACTGTGCTTGGGGCATTACATTCTCCTCAAAGAGAGCCCCTGTGTGATTCCCCTGTGAAACAGTGTGTTCTGCTGTGTCCAAGGCAACCTCTTCCTCCCTAATATGTTGAAGTGTGGATACATGGGCCGCAAGGCATTGGACCATCTCTTCCAAGATGGCCACTAACTTACACTTGCTGCAACAATAGGTATCAACATCCTCAGGCAAAAACACAGACATCCCACAAGTGTTGCAGATGACTCCTTGAGCGCCATCCGTTTTAGCAGAATTAAGCTAGAAAATTAAGTAGAGAATGGAACAGAAATCTAGGCCTCCCCCTCAAAGTGTTCCACCAAACATCCATGCAAACATCTGTTCACTAGTTCATTTTGTCTGTGTGCCTTGTGCCTGTATGTCTCGCTTGAGGAACTGGTGCTATAGCTATCTAGAGCAGTGGTTCTCAACCTGTGGGTCCCTGGTATTTTGGCCTACAACTTCCAGAAATTCCAGCCAGTTTACCAGCTGTTAGGACTTCTGGGAGTTGGAGGTTAAAACATCTGGGCACCCAGAGGTTGAGAACCACTGATCTAGAGAACTAGTGACAATTAGCTCGTGTGGGAAGGAAGTTTATTCCTTCTCACAGCTTCTCAGCTTACCACTTTAGAGATGTGAATTTTCTGACCACACTAAAGCAAAAAACAGTGTCAATTAACACTGCTGCTTGGGGACAATACAAATTGAAAAATTATCCATAGAACTATGCACAATATTAGAACCTGAAAACCAAGATTGCATGCCTGGGTTGGCTAACTAATTCTATGATTCTATAAATAAATAGTCTAAACTTCTCACTTGCCATAGAATTCTTGCCATAGCTTTCCAAGAAGAATGCCATGCTAATTTCAAAGGAACCATTCAGGTTATGCTTTTTGTTTACTGAGCAACATGAGTAGAATACACTGGCTAGATTTATAATTAAATTCAGGAAAAGCTTGGGTGATAGTATGATAGCTGGTACTGAGGCCTCATGGCGCTATGCTGTTTCCCCAATGGTGGTTGTGAATAAGGGAGGGGGGCACGTGTCCGACCACATGGTCGCACAGGGGGTGGAGTGAGACATTGAGGTGCTTTGGCTTAGAAGGTAGTGTGTTGTTGGCTTAGAAGGAAGGATAGAAAGAAGGGGGGAAATACGAGGAGTGTTGCAAGTTTGTGGGGAGCCAGAATGTGGGGTACCATCTCCCCCTTTCAGTGTTATGTGTTTCCCAAATCCTTGTTTATCACTTCACAATAAAGAACTACAATTTGTTCACTGTTAGTTTGTCCGGAGTCAGGATGTGGGTTATCGTCTCCCCTCTTCAGTCTTATGTGTTACTCAAACCCTTGTTTATCACTTCTCAATAAAGAACTAAAATCAGTTCAGTGTTATCCCTATGTGTTCACTGGTATACTTCCGCAGACTCTGTGGCGGTTTCTGTGTCCCGCGTCCGCTACATTACTTCACTGGTATCCTTCCGCCTTTCCATTCCGGAAACAGTGTAGCGCCATGAGGCCTCAATACCAGCTATCATACTATCACCGAAACTTGTCTGATCAGCATAATTGTTCCCTCTTGACAGCTATTCTTCCCACAATTCTGTGATTTGTCTATGCACGGTAAGCAAGATAAATAGAATTAAAGAACACTGTGTTGTTCCAGATCATGGGATCTTCCTCTATTGCTCCACAGAAATTCAGCATTCAGAAGAGATAGTCTTAATCCAACATTAGGATTGATCTAAACTGTAATTCTTAAACTCTGTCTTCAATGCCCCTTTAATGCCCCTTAACTCCAAATCATGCCAGTGAAACCCCTTACAGTTGCCATAAATTGGAAACAATTTGATGCAACAATAGCAACAACTTTGAAATTCAGTGTGAAATTCATGGTGTTACCATAAATCAACAGGTCACTTTTATGCATGCCCGAACACACAAACAAACACAAAAACATAAGGTTAAAAAAACCCAAATGCTACCACAAGTGATCTACTGGGTTGCTATGAGTGGGGGAAAACCCTAATAATCAAAGTTTTATATCTCTCTGACCTCTACTCCCAATCTGCTTCCAGATTAAGAATGGAGAATATACATTCTCTCACATTTTGGCACCATATCTGGCAGACAATCACTCCTAATTGAAAGACACAATTAAGTCCAAAGGATTTCTGAGCTTCTGTTAAATTTCCGCTGGAGACCTTATTCCAGACTGTGAGGAAGAGGAGGTTGCAATAAGAAGGCTATAGTCGCACTGACCTGTGGAAACACTAGGTGTGGGCTAATTATGTAATAAATGTTTCCTCTTAGACTTGTTGAGGGAAATTTATTTATGAGTGTAAGAGGACAGGTTTCTTCAAATTCTAATTGAGAACAAAAATGTGTCTTTGTTACGAGAAGTTCTGAAAATTTCGCTGTGAATTAGAAATATGAATCCAACAGACCTAGATTGTACTATCTTGGTCTGATAAATCTAGAAAGTGCCACTATTGCGACAGATTAGAATCTCGACCAAGAAAGCTTTTTAGTCATTACCAAATAACTTGGATGCCTTAGGATTCAAAATGGTTTAATCACAAAATTAGTGTCCAAAATGCACAAAAACTTCAATGCCCTGAAGTTCAAGTCACAGTGAAAACAATTACGTCTCTGTTCCATTGTCAATTTGCAAACACCCAACATTGCTTCGATATCACAGATATTGTCTGAAATCCTGTCTTGTTTCTACCATAGTCCGACTTTGCTAACAAAACCATCACAGATCTTCAAGAGCAGCTCTGAAATCTATGAAATATTTCTGTATGTTTTGGGTACTTACCTTTTTTCCAGGGAACACTGATTGTGAATGACTGTCGGCAGTTGAACATCATGGATCGTCTAAACATCTGTCTGTTGGAAGAGGACTCTTGCGAATTAAGGTTCATCCGTGAGATGTAGGAAAGCCTTATGAATCATGCTGCTAGAGGGAGTTTCTTGAGATAAAGTCCAGAGAGCAGTGGAAAAGCTTTTAAAATTCCCATCTATCATTCAGCTCCAAAAGGCAATGGGAAAGAGAAGAAACTGACATGTTTTGTCTTCCCATCCAAGCTGAAAAGCAATAGAGGCAGGTATCATGGCTCACAAAGCTGAAAGCTTTTTACAGAAGCCATTGCTACCAGAGAGCTGTTCTTCTGCGGACTGCAGGACTGCAACTAGGCAGGCAGGCAACTGTGACTTTAAAAGGGAGAAGCCCTCTGGAATGCATTTCCCTGAGCTGAAAAGTCAAGATGACTGGAGGGGTTTCGACTACCTTAGCTCCTTGCAGAGAAAATAAGATGCCAATGTGCTTGCATAATATTACGTTCTGTCTTTTAGATTTACATAGGGAGAGGGCAGAATTGAGTTTTTCCCTTTCTTTCCAGCTTTCCTGTTTTTGATTCCTGTTTTCAATGTATGATTCTACTATCCATGAAAGAAATGAAGAGTAGGAAGCTGCAAAACTTTACACCATTATCCTATATATGTCTACTGAAATCAGAAGTAAGTCCTGTTAACTTCATTGGACTTAGACTCAGGGCCCTTCCACACAGTCATATAACCCAGAATATCAAGGCAAAAATCCCACAATATCTGCTTTGAACTGGGATTTCTGAGTCCACACTGCCATATATTCCACTTCAAAGCAGATAATATGGGATTTTATTCAGCTGTGTAGAAGGGACCTCAGACAAGTAGTTAGACTGAAACTTTATTTAGTGAAACCTCTACCCTCCAATATATTAGTTTATAAAAGAGATTCACTGTGTCTTGTTAAATAAGATAAAACGATGTATATCACAGCTGTAAGATAAAATAATGTATATAGAGCAATCCATCTATAACTGTTGATAGATCCTTTCCTGTCTGTGCTCAATAACAAGAAGGAAATGCTAAGGACTTCCTGTCCATCCTCTTTTCTTCTGAATCCAGATTTGAATGGAGATAGCTAGAGCTGATGGTGGGAATCCAGAGGTGTGAAATGTGTTATTGAGCAATTTAGGGCAGTTTGCAGATAGCAAGATCTGGAATGTGAAAACTGAGTCCGTTCCTGGCGAGACTTAAAGCTATTCGATCCAGCCAGAAAGGATGACAGCCAGTAGTAAGCCACTCAAAGAAGTTGGCATACATTGTACAAATAAAACACACTTTTTATACAGTTCAGTCATTTGTTTTTCACGTGCACGCCCAGCTAGGACTGGTTTTGCGCTGATTGATGGAGCCAGCTCTGACTTCACAAGCAGCTGGGAGGATTCCCTCCACATGAAGGGGCTGTGATACCCAGCAGCCAATCAGGGAGCTTTTCCTGCAGATTTCAGCTCTCCTATGGCAGGCAGGGGGTTGGAAGGTCAGCCAAAAGAAAAAAAAGGAGACTATAGTTTTATGAATGAATTACAGGGTCTCAACCTTGAGACTAATAAAGCAGGGCCATCAGGTCTCTGAAGATTATTGTTTTGGTGATTGCCTCATGAAAGTCCCATCAGATGGGTCTGGCGCCCATGGCACCTGTCTCCATTGTTGACCTTACAAACATGCTGTCCAGAGTGACGGGGTTAAGAAATCTGTTCCTGGAAAATGGGAAATGGCATTCAGGAAAACCAGTGGCGGGATCTTCTAGTCTCCAGGAAGGGTGCCAGGTGATTATGAGTCCTTTATGTCCACATGGCCACATAAAAGAAAGTTAGCCCAATTCAGGGTCCGGTTATCCTCCGTGCAGTCAGTTGGAATTGAAAGAATTGATAGAGATGGGTTGATTTCAAAGATGATAGGTGCTTGAGTCCTTTGTTAAGGTGAAGACTAGGAAGACACAAGGGGAATGTGTATGCATAAATGGTCAGGGAGTGTCAGTGAATGGTCACCAAGGTCGTGGCAGTGGCTTCACAGCTTCAAAGATATTTTGTAAACTCATAAAACATAAAATATTAAAACACACACATACGGGATCCCAGCATCACCTAATCAATGAATACTGGGGGCATCTGGTTCCAGATGCCAGGGTTTGTAGGGTATGGAAGTTGACCCAGCGTTGTGGCATACAAAGGGGGCAGTGGAAATAGAGAAAGAATTAAAGCCCTGCTTTGGACTGAGGGGCTGCACGGTAACTGGGACAGGCTTTGA